TATAGTTTCTTATGCGAGCCATCTCAGTCTTATATAGTTTACTGTCTTTTTACCGAAATTCTGTTCGAGACCAAAAATAAATAAATTTTACCGAAAGGACCAATCATTTCATCGATCTGTTACCAATTATCAACAAGTTCCAGAAAGTATACAAAAGGTAGTAAAGTATTACCTCGATCTTCGTGCTCCATCAATCAAACATTTAAACTCCAATCGATCACTCTTGAACTTAATTCAACGTCCAATAATTCTTCGGATACATAGAAACCGAATTTAGGTTAAAACTAAACTTAATTAAAAACCCAAATTGAATCCGAAGATAAAACACTGAAAAACGGCTTACCGAGTGTGAATTTGGCGAAACAGACTTCAGAATTAGACTCAGAACGTCAAAAAACATAAAATAAGACTTTTCGAAAATTTAACTTTTTGGGTCAAAGTCAACGATCAAAGTCAACGAGTCAACTCAGACGAGTTAACTCAATTTAGGTTGACTCGGTCGGGTTAAACAGACCCGGTTCAGATCGGGTTGGGCCAGTTTGAACCGGTCTGGGTTGTTCTAGAAATTCCCATGGGCATGGGAGAGCCCCACACGCACACGACGACGCATGGTGGTGCGTGGAAACGGCGACGAAGGTCGAGTGATCGACCTTTTCATTAGAGCATCTACACACCATCATCAAGCCAAACCAACTCAAAGATTAACCAAAACCGAAAAAAAAATAACCAAACTATAAACCCAAAGCTTACTCACGGTTGTCGGTGATAGAACAACGGTGAGGCGATACCATTGGCTGAGTTTTGTTTGGGCTTGGATGGGGAGCCTAACGACTATGGTGGTGAGGCTCACAGGCGGCTGGATCTTCCAGAATCGGGGAGAGAATTGGCGACGATGAAATGAATTTCCTCCCTTCGATTAACGACGTTCGACGATAGATTGGGATCGTTGAAAGCTAGGGATTGGTTGTCGGAGGACAGCGGACACGCTGGCGGCGGCGTAGCGTGACAAGGTGGTCGGACCCGAGAAAATCGCGATGGAGAGCGGTAGTTAGGGTTGGGGTATAAAAATTTAGGATTAGGATTTTGGGGATAATAGGGAGGGGGTTTTAATATCTTATTTTTCACTGTGCAAGGAAAAATGGGAAAATTCAAGGTTAAGTCTCTAAACTTCCCAAAGTCTAAAAACCGAGCTACAAGTTTCAAAACTTATAATTTAGTCCCTTAAATTTACTTAAATACTTTGAACTCCTAAAATTTCTTTTATTATTATTTGCCCCAAAAATTGAGGTGTGACAATTTAAATCTTTCGCCATTGAATCTATATCAAATATTATCTCAATCAACCAAACAAATTGATGTTAAATAATTACTATATTTAATAATTAATGTTAAGAACTTGCTGAGCAACCTTGGTAAAAAAAAGGGTATTTTCTCCCTAGACATCCCGAGTTTGAACAATTGTGCTGGCAGTGTGTGTGCTTTGTCAATGACTAAGAAATATTCTAAATAGAAACTACCTTGTAATCACCCCTATACTATTGTGGTGTTTATAAAAAACGCTACTAAAGTGCATGATTATTGCGGCGTTTATCAAAAACGCCGCTAAGGTGCATGACTACTGTGGCATTTATAAAAAATACCGCTAAGGTGCATGACTATTAAGACGTTTATTGCAAAAATACCACTAAAGTGCATGACTATTACGGCGTTTATTACAAAAGCGCCACTAAAGTGCATGACAATTGCGGCATTTATTACAAAAACACCGCTAAGGTGCATGACTATTGCGGTATTTATTACAAAAACGCCACCTTATAGGAGTCAATTGCAGCGTTTTTAGTAAAAAAAAAGCCTCTAATGTCTTTGTTTTCTGGTGTTTTACCAGTAAACGTCACTTTTTGTTCAAATTTTGTGGCGCTTTGTTTAAAAATACCGTAAAAAATGCCGCTATAGAACAATTGTGTTGTAGTATGCAATTGCTGAAGAATGTGACGAGCCACAGATCCACTGCTCTAGGAAAAATGGCGAGGGTGACTTCCATTTATCTTAGCCCCTCCGTAAATCCTCCTCAAGGCACCAACACCAAAACCTCCCCTCAAGTACAGTTTCCTTGCCATGGAAGCTGCAAACATAAACGTAATTATCACTCGTTAGAACATAAATTTTAGGTTACATCAATTTCGATGAAGAGAACATGCCCCTTAGATCAGTCCAGATAAGATGAATGGATGTTGTATGCTCTCAAATTAGATCAAATTGATAAAAACTTAATTCAACTCCAATCATTTCCATCTCTACTTCCATGTTTCGGGGGCCTCCGTGCAATTTTTCAAAACTTAATCTACCCCTGCCATGTATTCTATCAAATTGATTTGGCAAAATTGGTGAAATAAAGCATTTTGAAGAGAAAAATTGAAAAATGGGGCTGTCTTATTTTGGGATTTAAGCTATTTTTTATCGTTCTTATTGAAGATGTTATGCAAGATACGATGATTACGATAAAACCGATACCCCTTCTCGATAAACTTTTTCGAAGATATTTGCATGAATATTTTTATATGAATTATATTGTATTTTTAGTTAAAAATATTTATTAAAGGTAATTGGTTGCATAAAAAAGAATGATGTTTAAAGTTCTTGTAATGCATATATTATAAATAAGGGTAAAGTATATAAATAGTCCCCAAACTTTTAAGGCACTTATATTTTCATCACCCAATTTTTGAAACTTGCAATACAATCATCGAACTTTTAGTTCATTTTCATAAGACCCATACCATTAGTTTTCGCTGACGTGACACTTAACTCCCGTTAACTCCTCCTCCTCCTCCTCTTCTTCTTCCCCAAAAGCTTCCCATGTAAACCCTAAAATTTATCCTTAATTTCCATTGAACTTGTTGAAGGTGAAGAAAAATGGAGAATTTGACTAAAAAATGTATGTGATGACAGCCATGAAAACTATCTTATTCATTTGTCAAAGTTCTTGTCTTCGTTCACTGCATCTACCATAGCACCACATTGATGAGTGGAGCAATCTAACTGTGATTATTACTAAAAATCCAACTGGGTTGGAGGAACAAACACTCAAGAAGTATAGTAAACAACGATTTAAATATTTGTGCCATTGAGAAATATTCATATCTGAATCTAATTAAGCACAACATCACAAAATTATGCCTCAAATGCCTTGTTTCAGTCTAAAATTGAAAAGTGATAACCAAAAAGGAAACGAATCATCCAGCCTTACAGTACCAAAATAACTACATATAAATGCTTGAAGAAATTGGAGTTTAAACAATCTCTTGTAGATGATTGTGAAAAGCAAGAGCACTTTAACATAAGATAATCCAACCAACCTTAGCTTGCGAACAATAGTTGACAAAGTCAGTAAACTACGATTTATATGGCAACCCCTCTTTCAGTCTTGTCCTAGTGGGTAAGGCCTGAGATGCTCGTTCACTTCCAACCAAATCAATAAAATTCTGCACCCAAATAACTGTCATTTAATATTTTTTTTCTTTCATTTGAGAACTAGCAAACTGATAAGAAGGGGGGGGGGGATTTTCAGTCTGGAACAAATGAATAAGATAGTTTCATGGTTTCCATCATATACATTCTTCAGTCGAATTCTCCATTTTGTTTACCTTGGACAAGTTCAATGGAAATTAAGGATAAATTTTAGGGTGTATAGGGGAAGCTTTTGGGGAAGAAGAAGAGGAGGAGGAGGAGAAGTTGACGAGAGTTAAGTGCCACATCAGCAAAAAGTAATGGGAGGTAACGGTAGTGACCTTATTGAGAATGAATTAAAAATTCAATGGTTGTATTGTAAGTTTCAAAAGTTTGGTGACCAAAATACAAGTGTCCTAAAAGTTTGAGGGACTATTTATATACTTTACCCTATAAATAATTAAGGGTAAAAAATAATAAAAGTTTAAATTAATTAAAATGCATAAAAAATAAGTAATTCGAGATAAAAAATGACTATAAAAAATAGAAGGTTAAAAAGTATAATTATTAATGATATTAAATGTAGAAAAAATGTATTTATTATTATTAATGATAGTTAATAATATTATTTTTAATAATAATAATAATAATAATATATGTTATTTAATTCAAAAACTTGATAAAAATAATATTTTTTTTATTAGTACAATACAAAGCAGGATCAACATTTCCTTTTTAGAATAGGTGTAGGAATGGGCTTGCTCATTCTTTTCTTCATTGATGGTTTCATCACCTACTGTATGATGCTTCTAGTTCAAATTCACCATAAGCTCGACTCAATTAATAGTAGCATCGCCGAAGTTAATTCTTTTAGCGATATGGGTTTCACTGTTTGTGGCACATCTCGCATGTTTCGTTATTAATTTTAATTATGTTTTGAATTCTTTCCTTGATTTGGAATGTCTTTTCTTTTATTTCTTACATAATCTTTTGGAATTTTGACTGATGTTAAAGGCATTCATAATTAGTTTTGCATTGAATTATGCCATTCTTATCATTTGAAGTTCTTTAACAATGAAATTGAAATGCACCAATAATTTTTCTTTTTTTCTAGAAAAAGGGTGGATAAGAATGGGAAGAGATTGATGGGGAAGAAATGGAAAATACTTAGGGTTAAAGATAAAAAAGTTTTTTCTCTCTTTTTAAAATTTTTTCAATTTCAATTAATTAATTTTTTATTATTTTAATTAGAAAATTCATTTTTTTTGATTATTATATCCATGTCAGGTGGTATTTAACGACCCACATTAACAGCCTATCATGGCCAGGCACCAAAATGAGTTAAGGACGTCCCAATTAGATCGAAAAAAAAATGTTATGCACCAAATTGAAAGAATGAGGCATGCGTTGGACCTTTTTTTTTACTATTAAGCCTTTTCTTTTTGTAAATAGCAGAAAGAGTAAAAAAAAGAACTTGAAAGGTTGTTATTTTGTAACGAATTAGCAACTTCTTTTTCAATTTTCTCTTCACTCGTTTTTTTAATTCTTTATAAACGAAGGAGAGGAAGAAGAAGAAAGAAATTGGAAGCGAAAAACAACGGTTTCTTTCTTCCCTCTGTCTCTGGAGTGTAGTGCAACATCTTTCAACTTTCACTCTCAATTTGCTGCCGATTTTGGGGTTCTTTAGTTTTTACTCAGTAAACTCCAATATGGTTAGTTGCTTTTCCTTTAAAGAATAACTTCCAGATTGTTCTTTTATCTTCGATTGATGTTTCTCTCATAGAAGTTGCTTTTGGTTGTTATAAATTTTGATTTCTCTGTACTCTCATAATATTCGCCATGGAAGAAAATACAAGGAATTAAGTTCAAGAAAACGATAATTGAGGAAGCTAACTCAAATTAAACGTTTTCATTTTGCTGAATTCGACAAAATATATGGCTGAGTTGGTAGCGCTCCAACTCTGTATGTTTTATCTTAGTAGTAAACCTCGACTCGGTACCAACCATTTTCCTCCATTTATAAACGATTAAGGTATCTTTTCTTCATATGAGATGTTAGTTATTCTTACAGATAAAATTTACTACAAAATGAAAATGTGCTTATATCAAGTAATATGATTTTTTTGTTCGTAACAGCATAAACTGGAGGGAAGTCGTGGGATCAAAGTCTTGCAGTTCATGTCGATAACTAAATCGAGGTAGATGATTTTGTTTTTTCATTTTGCGGTTTCACTGTTAATATTTGGGTGTGCCTAGGATTTACTTTTGAAATCACTGTTAATATAGAGCTACTTTTAAAAATGGACTGGAAAAAATGGTTTATGTGCAAAGATGAAAACAAAGGAACAATGGATGTGTTTTGATAGAGATGATTGATTCTGGTTCCTCAATAAAAACCTGTTGGTAAGGCTAATCACGTCTCTTCCCATTTCCATCAATGTCATTTTTTCCAGTTATCTTTAGAATTATGGTTTTGTTTTCTATAACAATATTGAATGTATCAGTGGTTTGCTGCCCTCTTTTCAGTTCCTTAGTTCCTGTATTTATTCATATGGTTATTTAATTGTAGTGAAGAAATTTCTATTGAAGCATTGAAGGCAAGTGGTTGGAATCTTAAAGAAGCTGTTGATGTTTTCTTTCCCCGGAAGCTTTATAAAAGATACAAAGGCAAGCTTTTCTTTCCTCTCTCCTTCCATTTTTTTTTTGTTTCTCATTCTATTTTATAGTTTGCCTTAATAATTTGTGGTTTGCTTTAGTTTAGTATTTTTGATGGAACATAACAGAGAAAACTGCTGAATTTCTTTCGGTTCTTTGAGATTTTGATATACTCTTATTTTCATTTCGATGAAATCCTGAATTCATTTCTGCAGCTTACTTTCCATTGATTTATACCATGGCTATATTTAGCAGCCTGCATGACTCTTTTAAAAAATAAAATACTTACTCACATATATTATTCAGATCCTGACACAGATATGATACTGGCTGATGGTATTACTCTTCTATGCAGTGACCTCCAGGTAGGCTTTTTGATCCTTTGAGATTTGTTGTCTAACATCTTTTTTACCCCTTTACTTTTCTGTTATTTCATTGGTACATAAATTCATTTGCAATTCAAAATATGAAATAACAACTAGAATCCTTCTTTTGACAGGTGGATCCCCAAGATATTGTTATGGTATGTCCTCAGCCTGAAGTACAACCTCTTGTGATAAAAATCATAGATTTTTCACTATCTATATTCTACTCTTTAGCTTACGTTTTGCTCAAGTTCAAAGTGCTAACTAAACGTTTCAGAATCCTGCTGATGATGTTGATTGCTTTTATCATCCTTTCCTTGCACTGCATATGTGTGTGGACGACTGTCTTTCCTTTTTCTCATTGTGAATTCTATTAGTTTCAAGTTTTACATCTCACTATAATAATAGTCTTTAATAATGGTGATGTGGCTTTTTCTAAATTATGTTTCAAGTATCTGGTTGGACTTGAAACAATTTGCAATTTAGAGGGTTGTGGAAGGAGGATTTTGGCTTTTAGCAGACGCTAATGAGTTGGCGAGCATAGTTCTGAAATTTTCATTCATCAATGCTGGTTAGCATGGTTGTCCAAAGCCCTAACTCCTGTTATGATAATTGATGACTTGAGAAAATGACAATGCTGGGTGCTTGAGGTTAAAAGTTGCGTTAAACTATTGAAGTTACTTTGGACATTATCATAAATCTTCTAGGAGGTTTCACAAGATGTCAATGGATATTTAGAAGTTCCTATTTGGTTCCAATATTTTATGGACACTTGTGCTAATATTGGCGGTAAATTGCAGGTAGTTGTTTCATGGCACATGAAGGCTTCTACCATGTGTGAATATTCCAAAGAAGAGTTTTTCACTGGTTTGAAGGCACTAGGGTGCGCATTTATTTCTTTTTATAATTTCCCAACCTGAAATGAAATTAGATTCAATACTGTCCTACTGTAATGTGGTTCTGACAGAAATTTAAAAATTTTCATGGCAGGATAGATTCATTGGAGAAGTTTCTTGAGAGGATACCATTTATGCGCTCTGAGCTGAAAGATGAGCGTATGTTCAGTGCACCATAGAGTTTAATTTTCAGTATCCAACGAGAAAATATTTTAACATGTGATGCATGTTGCGCGTTTAGCAGCAGAAGTGCCTTCTATATAGATATATTTAGACAATCAGCTTTTTTATTTTTTTCTTTTAACCCTCCAAATTAGTTATGTAAATTAGTTTATTGTGATTCATAAGCGGAACTTATTTGTGTGATGCAAGCTTGTTTTCGTCTTTGTTTATTGTGACTGCAGAAAAGTTTCGTGAGATATATAACTTTGCATTTGGCTGGGCAAAAGAAAAGGTAGGCAATCCTTTCATGTCAACTGTCCATAATAGAAGTTTTCTAATCTCTAGGCAGAAGAACAATTTGCTGCTATTAGTTTTATTAAAGTTAATCCAAATTAGACTACATTTTTTCTGGCATGGTGTTTCTTTTTCCATGTCAGCAGTTGACCGCCTCACGTGATTCTCCTTGTTTGATCAGTTGGAGAATGTTTATGTTACAAAAATAAAGTTTCAGTCTTTAGATTACTTGTCTTGCTAATTTAGAAATAAAATTACCTTAAAACGTGATTTAACAAAGAAGATCCACTAGAATGTTAATCTGGTGGAAGAATACATTCACCTAGATAATTTATTTTCTGCCTCAGGGTCAGAAATCTTTGGCATTGGATACTGCAATTGGTATGTGGCAATTGCTCTTTGCTGAGATGCAGTGGCCATTGGTTGACCATTGGTGCCAGTTTTTACAGGTACCTTAAAAACATATGCTTGCCTTCCTAATCCTGTTTGGTATTTTGTAATATGCCGTGACAAATATAGTCACCAATTCAGAAGTAATCATTTTGAACTGACCTGCAATATTGCTTGAGATAATAATTATATGGTATGGTTTTCCTCATATAAATTTGAATTAGACTATGAACACTGTGGTAAGAAACTTTGCTGTGAAAAGGTGATAATGCATAATCTCTATGCTACCAAAGGTTTAATGTTCTACCTTAAGTAAATCTTCTGATAGCTGGCTTAGTAGGAATTTCTTTAGCCTGAAATTATGGCTGAAAATTTTAAGTAAATCTCTCTTTCTTTCTTTCATCAGAGGTACATATTTTGCATGATGATAATCTCCATAATCTCTATCCTTGCTTGTAAAGTTTTGTCAGATATGAAATTTCAAAAGGTTTGTATTTCTTCCAACTTGTTTAGTTCTTTAACTGTATTTGTGCTTTGATGCCGATTGAACCAGGCCCGACATAAGAAAGCGATCTCTGAGGACACGTGGTCTCAACTTTTGGAGTTTGCTAGAGTAAGTTAAGGCTTCAATTCAGTGTCTTGGATATTCCTTCCTGCTTGCATAGAGTTTAAATAAACTGTATCCATCATCATGAACCGCACATTAGAATAATAACTTCACCCTACCCTACTTTCTGTAAATCGAGTGCAAGTGTTTATACATGGCTATGTCGTTCAGATTCGGGTGTACCTACCATACCAGTAAGATCTAAGAGTTTGGTTCATCATAATTCAGAACATGATAACTTGTTTTTAATGTGTTGTTATCATGCAGACGATAGACTCTGCACTATCAAATTACGATGCCGAAGGTTCATGGTCCTATCTTATAGATGAATTTGTAGAATACTTGAACGAGAATGGCATCATTCAAGATGGTGACTCTAGTCATTCGACCCAAAAACTATAAAAGGACTGATGGGCGATAGTATCATTGTGTGGAATTTGTGGAAGTGCTTGATCTTTCTGGAAAATAAGATGCAAAATACCTTGTGTTGTGACAATTGGTACACAATGCATTTTTTTAGTTTGACGAGGACTGTTAGCATCGTTTTTTGCATTTTTTTGGTTTGATCATTGTGCTTCTATTTTTGGTTCAGTGGGGATAAATTTGTATTCTAAAAACTTACTCAAAAAACATTTTTTTACTTGACTCGTAATTCTATAAATTCGAATTGACTAAAAAAATATTAATTTCAAGTTAAGTTATAAATAGAACTCAAATAATTTGAAACTTTTAGCAATTAATCGATTGATTTTCAAGTTCAAGTTGAGTATTTCAACTCTGCATGATGTATGTATATCACTTGTATAAAAATAAAAATATATATGTATATCGTATATGAAAATGACATGTATTGAGCTCCAAAGGGAAGCAATTGAATCCCTGTTATTTTAAGAAAACTATTAAATTTAGTTTAGTGTATTGAGGGAAGAGGGATAAATATACACCAATTTTTTTAAAAGAAAAAGAGATTTAAAATTTGGCAACTCATTTTTAGGTTTATAGATTTGTTAGTGATACATGATTGTATAGACTCGTTTAAATAGGAATAAAATAGTATCATAATATTATAAATATTTATTATTAAATTTAAATAAAAATTTAAATAACTTGACTTGAGTCAAATTTTATAAATTATTTAGATTTTATTAAAAAAATCACCTAAAATTTGAATTATAAATTAGATTGATCAACTCGACTAGCTAAAAAAAACATTCGACTCGACTCGATCAAATACTCATCCCTAAATCTTAACTATAACCTAGTGAGAACAATAAAGAAAGGAAAAAGAAAATGATAGGGAGTATTTTGGTAATTACGATGAGATCCATTTTGCACCATCCCGATAACACCTACCGAGGGAGGATATCGGCTTTGTAAAGTACCCCTCCGAGTTGTTAAATAAAGATGGGCCACGCAGCGTTGCCTTTGCAAAAGGAATATATCATTCTAATGAATAAATTCTCCGAAGCACAAAAAAAAATGCTTGAATTTCAAGCAAACATGGCCTTAATACTAAGCCACCCAACCTCTCCCCCCCCCCCCACCCGGGTTTTAGGGTAAACATGGCCTTAATACTAAGCCACCCAACCTCCCCACCTTGGTTTTAGGGTTTTCAACAATTGTACCATACCAGCCTAAAGAGGAATCTCCAAACGTAATTGACATTCCTCATTTTTCTTAGATACATGTTATAATAAGCAAAAGGGTGGTGGAAGGAAGGCCTCAAAGGGGGTCTTGTGTTAAAATAATATTGGTTTGACATTAAAACTTAATACCAACGGGGTTTATTGAAACCATATGGATGTAGAACATTTAATGCCATCATATATCTATATGAAAAGTTCTATGAATCCATATTCTTGGACAAATTGTGAACGTAGGACCAATTGATATTAAGGATGACAATAGTTAAGTTCATGGAAATGGGGTTTATATTTGAATACCCAATAAGACGTTTGTTGAGGTGAAAGTAGTTTTGCCTCTGCATATACATATTTAAATTCAGAAAAAGTTTATAGAAGGTTTTATCTTGAATGCTTTTGATCAGGTTTAGATTACTCACAAATGCATTGTCACTTAAGAGATACTTTAACGAGTTTATAAACACAAATTCTCGACTTAGATCAATGATCTATTTTTAGCTTAAGAATCTTTCTTTGATTGTCAAAGAAGAAAGCATGATCATTTCCATAAGGATTTGGGTATTTAGGATTTTTTTTATCACCTCCCACCTCATCTTGACATCTTTTAGTGTATGTGGGGTTATGGGACTTTGCTGGAATTGAGGCATTGCCATTCAATTTGCATTTTGTTTTATTTGGCTTTGAATGGAAGGCGATATGCATGGGAGGACAATCTTCAGTTCCACAAAAGTGATAAATGAGTGTGGCCCATCAATCTTTAGGACAAGGGTCCCCAACTTCTATTTCTACTACTACTTGCATTGATGCTCACGTCCTCACATTTTACAAATTTATTACTTCTTTAGCTAATTTATCTAAATATGCCCTGTCCATAAACTATTTAAGAAAACAATACATTTCAAAATTACTCATCAAAATACCAGTTATCTATAGGACAAAAATACAGCGTCTTTTGAAAAATATGTTTGATTGAGTGCAATTTTGACTTGACATAAATAGACAAAAGAGGAGAAAGACATGTTGGATGAAACACACCTTTCATCACTACAAGAAAATATATCTTTAATGGCACACGGACGATGACACACGCTAATTTATGACTTGCAAAAAATATGTGTCATAAAAAAAATGTCATGTTTCTTAAAATCTGAACGATTTATGACTTACAATAATGTATGTCATATTTAATAGTCATAATCCAAAAAATTTAGCAAACACATGGAGTATACTTTTCATTGTGTGTCATCTCTAAAAGTCGTCTTTTAATTTCCCCCCCATAATTTTCATCACATACGCATGTTTTCCCGCTGTAAAATTTCAAAGCCTCATTTTAGCAGGGTATCGGCTTCAATGCTCCCAAAAGTCTCTTTTTTACCTCTGTTACATTCTACGAGGCCTTCTGTTGTTCTCAACTTCTCTTACGAACATTCCCTTCTTTTTTTCCCTTTTCTCTTCTTAACTTAGTTATCTGCTCCATCTCTTCAAGTTTTTCATTTAGTTAATATTGTTTTTTTCCTTTCTGGGTTTTACTAGTTTTAAATTTTCTTAGAGAGTTTTCTTTTGAGCTGAAAATTATGTAGATCGGAGAGTGATAAGTGGTTAGTCATCAGTTTGCGGATGCATGAGGTATGTTTGATTCTTACTTCCTATTTGATTCCTGTAAAAACATCGGGGAAAGAAAATTTTTTTTACTTTATGGTTTGTTAGCTGATATTATCTTCTCCCTTTTCTCTGTTGAGTTTAGAAAAAGGAAATTTGTAGATGAACTGAACAACTCAAGTAGTCTCATTTCACTGTAAATATCTATATTTCTCTTCGATATCTGAGTATAAAGCCGCTATAATTGGTCTGTTTGGATAAAAGATAAATTGCAGTTCATAATCCCCCTTTTAATGTTAAATCATGGATGACACTCGGTAAACTTGATTTTCATCTTTTTTCATTAAAATGAAATTACTTCTTTTACCTTTTCTTTTAACTTTTTAAGTTTCATTGGAAGTGTTTGAATGGATATGTGCTTGAAATGGTGTTTTAAATTAGACTTATTTGTTGCTTCGTGTTTTTGTCGTAGTCATTTCTTTTCGCATTAAAATGCAGAAGGAATTACGATGCATATAAAAATAATCACACTCAAAATCGTTTATTTCCTTGTTTTAAATTCCATATTTGGTTTAATTAATAGAATTACTAATGTTTGTTTGCTTTGGTTGCTTTGGTGTATCAGCAGTTGTGGGGAATTCTTGGATACATGAATGCAAGTTAAGAATTGTATTACAAGCTAAGGTTATAAAACATGAAAACTGAAGGGAAACCACATTTGATAAAGAAGCTTGCTGATGTAAAATGTCAAAGGGTAAGAAACTTATTTTTAATCTTTTTCAATTAATCCATCCTTTGTTTCTCTGTTTTACGTGTCACTTGCCATTGATACTTAGTTACTTCTACGGTTTCTGGCTGCACTTTCACGTTTTTTTTCTTCTGCTATTCTTCATAAAGAAGGGTGTAAATTTGATAAATACTATATTGCTCCCCACCCTTCTTCCCCTGCTTTTGATCTTTGGATATAAGTGGATGGGTCGGTTGTTCCTGGCTTGGAAGAAGCAGCTCAAGTTGAGCATTTACTTGCAGAACCTAATAGTGAGCATGTTTCAGTAGATGAAGTGTTATGTTTTGGGATGGAAAACTTAGAGAAACACTTGAAAATGGAAGACTTCTTCTCTTACGCTCTTGATTACAGCTGGAAAATTAATTGTGGTAATACTCTTCAAGAACTTCTCACTGTTCTTTTTACCAATTCCCTCATTTCAAAATTAAAAAGAAAAAATGATATTTGAAGTGCTTTTAATTTTATCAATGTTAAGATTTCAGAAGCATCTAGAATCTTTGATAAGTACACTATGATGGATTTGTCTCATCCTATTCAGTGCACATCTATTTACATGGAGGAAATTCATGCCAATGAGCAAAGACCATGTATTTTAATGTGTGAACTTGCTATTGCTAGCATGCTCTTGTAGAATTACTGTGCTTAACTTTGTGTTGTACTTTGTTTTGAAGATGCAGAACCAACATCAATGGTACTTTAAACTAGTTAAAGAATTGATTCTGGTGATATAGGCTTATTCCTTATAATTGTTGGTTTGAACTGATATAATCTTGCTTAGTATCTTCTGTCTTTGTTTCTTTTCCTCATTAGTTGGTTTATATAACTCTAAAGATATCATAGTTGTTAATGTCGTAAAATTTATGACTTGTGCACTGCACTACAAGAAAATATACCTTTAATGACACACGAACGATGTCACACGCTAATTTATGACTTGTAAAATATGTGTGTCAAAAAACAAATGTCATGTTTTTTAAAATATGAACTATTTATGACTTACAATAATGTGCGACATATTTAATAGTCATAATCCAAAAAATTTGCAAAAACACGGAGTACACTTTTAATTGTGTGTCATATGTAAAAGTTGAATTTTAATTTCCCCCCCCCCCCATTATTTTTACCCTTTCCCGCTTCTTCCCCCTCAATAACAAAGTTCACGCCGCTTGCTTCCCCATTTTTCAAGTTTCTCGGGATCCAAACACTGTCATAACAATGGTGTTTTTCCATGTTTTTATCTCAATCTTTTTTTAGGCGGACGTGGATGCTGATGTTGCTGCACCAGGGGTACCGAAGACGAGAACATTCAAGAAGTTTAGTTTTAGAGGTGTCGATCTTGATGCTCTCTTGGATATGTCAACTGATGAACTCGTCAAGCTCTTTCCTGCTCGTGCTTGTGGAAGGTTACCACTCGTTATTTTCTCTATTTGATTTTTTTCTTCTTCAATGGCTGTTGATTTTGAGATTTAGATATTTCATTTTTGCTAGTTTAGGTTTCAGAGGGTTTTGAAGAGGAAGCCAATGGCTCTGATCAAGAAATTGTGCAAGGCTATGAGTATTCTTCTATTTTCCTTCTTTTTTAACTGTGAGGAATTAACTGATACTTTAGAGTTTGTGTGTGTTTTCTTAATGTGTTGATCTGCATATGTTCTAGTATTGAGATTGAAAACGCAAATTGCCTAAGATTTTGGAGTAGTCTCTCCTAATGTTCTTCATAGTGTTGTTGTTGGTTGTGTATTTGCTTTCATATGTTAGACATAAATAAATTGTATTGATGAACATCTACGGTTTCAAAATTCTTTCTAGATTCAATACCTAGTGGTCTATTGTTCGTAGTAGTTTTCTATATCCACTTTGTTTATATTGCACATCCGGTGATCTGATTTTCTGTTACTCCCTTTGGTAACGGATAATCATATAGTTCTACAGTACAGTTGTTGTTCCCTCTTGCTTGGTTCGCTTGATCTGTGTACATAATGTAGTTCCCTGTTTCACTAGCAACCTTGTTGGGAAGGTTATAATGCCAGGGGCTCATGGTTGTAATAGTTAGCTATCATTTTTTATGATATCACAATACATAAAACTATCATGAAATGATTTTCTTTATTTCTCCTTTGCCCTTATTTTAGCTAGTGTAGTGTCATTTTAGCATATCTTTGTTGCAAATTTTGCCAGTGAAGTAGGTAGCTTTGATGATTCATTGGGATATTTAACTGATTTATTGTTTGTAATAAAAGTTTCCCTTGAACTATTTTTATTTATGATGATCCAAGTAATTTTTTGTAACAACTTATATCGAGAATGCTATTCTGCTGTCTTGAAACAGAAACGGGAGGCTCCACCTGGTGAGAAACCCGAGCCGGTTAGGATGCACCTCCGCAACATGATTATAGTTCCTGAAATGATTGGTATTATCATTGGTGTTTACAAAGGAAAGACCTTCAATCAAGTGGAAATCAAGCCAGAAATGATTAGCCACTATTTGGTTGAATTCTCAATCTCATACAAGCTAGTAAAGCACGAAAGGCATGGTATTGGTGCCACCCATTCATCCAGGTTTATTCCACTCAAGTGAATGTCTTCACTCTTAGTTTTGTTGGAATTTTGTTCTGTTATCGAAGCTTGATCAAAGTGTTTACTTTTTAGTGTTGTTGTTTCTCTGTTGAGTATTCAAATTTAGAAAAAGACTTCGTTAAGCTTTGTATTTCTTTCCTATTTCTTCTTCCCCTTCTGAACTGTTTATTACTATCACCCGGTCTGGCCCAGCTTCGAAGTTTATGAAATAATTTTGATTTGTTCCTCTTTATTTATTTTATTGACAGACCATGCTGATAACCTTGATTTAATAGAAAGAAAGTTCATTTATAAAGGTATGGTAATTGGCATAAGATTTAAACAAACAACGAATTTGGGTATGTTTTAGAGAATCTGAAATTGGATTTTAACTGTTCGAAGGGAGCAAATTTTATGTAGATGATCTCACTAGTTTGAACTTGAAGTTAAGCTGTGGACTTTTTGATAGGTTGTTTCTTAATTGAAAATCTATTGTTTCCTTGTTACATTGTTTTTTTTTCTGACTCTCGTATTCTACAAAAGTATATATTTTGTATGCTATATGAAGAAGTAATTGTTAACATTTGATTCCCATATGTTTTCAGTATCATAGTTTACTTGAATGCTTAGAAACTTAAATTTATGTCTCCTAGAAGCTTGTAGTTATTTTTATTTGAGGAATTTATTTGTTTATGGTGTTATGTAAGAAACTATATTCTTAATGCACTTTTTTTATTTGTTCTGATCCTTCACCTTGAATGTAAGTCATATATGTTATTTTTGCTTGAAACCTATGATAATAAACATTCTACATTCTCCTCTTTAATGGTTTATTCCTTCTTAACTTTGGGAATCCATTAGGAAGATATATGCTTGGATGGGATGGGCAGTTGAACTACGTAGTATTTAGTGGATAGCCAATACTAGTTTCTATAAAGTTTACCTGGCTGAATTATGGCATCTGCAAGCCTAGGAAATGGAGGAGTGGGTAGTTCCAGATCTGTTAATGGGATCAATACTTCTCTGTGAGTCGAAGCTAACTATTTTCTGAGTTTTTAATTCTTTAAGGTTATTTGTTTCCTTTTTTAACTATTTTTTTTATTAAATCAGAGAAGTGGAAGAAAAGTTATTTTGGAGGTAAATCACTTAACATTTTCACTTACATATTATTCGTTCAATATCTATTTTGTGGTAAATAAATAGACTGCCTTTTAATATTATTTTCCCGAGTTTGAATCCACAATAAGTTCTCTGTTAATGCTAGGTTATTTGGAAATGGACTTGTTTTAATTGAGTTCGAGTAAATGAGAATAGTGCTAACATTTTTGCTTTCCCTATGAATTCTTATTTTATTCCTCTAAATGGTCTGGTAATCTTATACGAGATGACCTTATTATTGAAGTGAATGGTGTGGCAAACCTTGTTGAATGTTGGTCACTATATATGGTAGAACTTGACTTTATTGTTCCTTATAGTGTGTAATAATTAGTTCCCCTTCTTGTCTAAGGTTATTAAATTCTCATGTAAGGTTTCTATATATTATAGAACTATTTATTTGTATTCCCTGTAATTGCAACATACCCAGAGGTTAATCTATGATGTTCCGAGACTATGTTGTTGGTGACCTTGCTCAGGTTGATCTATGCACATATCGTTTAGCACCATTTTAATAAAATTAATGTGCTAAGATCTTATAATCTGTTAGTATCTTCTTGTGATAATCTGAGAACATTCTTGGTTTTTTATTTTCAAATAGCCATATTTGATGAATATTATGTTTGTAACTTAATGTGAATATATTTTATGCAAATGGATTGCTTATATATAATATGATATATATATTTAGTATTTTGAGGCATTAAATGTGATTTAGTTTAATTATTTGTCAATCTACAATATATATATATATATATATATATATATATAATTAACGAAATATAATCACGACACACGAATGTGTGCCATCTTTTTTAATGACGTGTGCTTCAATGACATGCAATGTAAGTCATACATGTGTGTCATAAATTTATAACACACAAATGTGTGTCATCTTAATTTATGACGGGGGCTTCAATTACGCTCAATGAAGGTCATAAATGCGCGTCATAAATGTGTGTCATAAATGCACATCATAGATTTATGACACACAATTGCGTGTCATCTGAGATTCATGTCAGTGGCTTCAATGACAAGCAAATGTGTGTCATCCGCACCCATAGATGACACGCATTGCGCGTCATTAAAGGGGTTTTTTCTAGTAGTGCTGGATGGCAGAGTGGTATTGACCTATTATAATATTTGATTTAATTAACGAATAGTCATAACCATTTCGAGACATGAAAATTATGGCTCACAAAGGGATGCAGGGATAGACATTGAGTGGTTTCTAAGATTTGATGCTCATATATTGTTATCAAATATTGCAAAAAGACAAGACAATATACAATTGTATAAACTAGACATTAACTTTACAATCTCTTTGTTGACACATGAAAACCTTTGTTCAGATTTTTATTTTAAATTTTGCTTGTTACTCTTCTGATGATTTTATTTTGTTTGTGATTCCTTATAAGGTGAGGTCTATGGTCAAGGAGGTGATGATTTGAAGCTTGATGTATGTATTGTTTTCTTCTTGAGGCTTTCTCGTCACACCCAGGCCATTATTTTCTTTAATTTTTCGTGTTATGAATTTTATGTTGTTTTTGCTTTTCCTTCATTACATTGTGTTTATTACATTTTTTTGAATATTGTATTTACTGTATGCAAGCATGCATAGGTGCTATGTTGATATCCGATGAAATGTTGCTTTAGTAGATTCTTGATGGATTGCTGGATGATGTTGATGAAGTGGACAATATTCAAGCAGCCAATTATCTCTCTGCTGCATGTGAAGGTTTTTAGTTGGGTGAGTATTAATTATGTGCTTGTGCTAATTGTCTACCTAGTGTGAAAGCACATGATTCTCATCTATAGTGATTCCTCTTCTTTCTCCTTCAAGTGCAGATATTGAATTTCCTGAAAAGTTTTCTGAATCAGATTGTGCTCCTCATGAAGGATCAAATTTGCATAACTTGAATTCACAAAGTTCTAATGATTGTCATGTCCAGATTGTTGTTGATAAAGTGGTAAGTTCCTGTGAACATTCTAACTTTATTTATTTTCTACTTATTGTTATAGCACCAAGTTAGTATATATATGTCTGCTTATTTCAAACTACTTTATTTATTTCCATGCTTGCAATAATCTTATTATTATGATTAAAATTGGTCATTTTAGTACTCTTTGATAGTTATATACTTCACTTTAAATAAGTATAAATTATATACTTATTTCATATTTTTTACTTAGGTTGGTGATGGGAAGGAAGAATACACGGATGATGACATTGATGATATTCACAAAGAATGTGTATCTTATGTGGCAAACTTTATTATGCCGTGATATTTTGTATCGACATATAATTACAATATTTTTGATAACTTAATGTTAATATATTCTATGCAAATGGATTGCTTATATATAATATGATATATATATTTAGTATTATGAGGCATTAAATGTGATTTAGTTTGATTATTTGTCAATCTATAATATATATATATATATATATATATATAATTTACGACATACAATCACGACACAAGAATGCGTGTCATATTTTTTAATGATGTGTGCTTCAATGACACGCAATGTAAGTCATAAATGCGTATCATAAATTTATGACAAACAAATGTGTGCCATCTTCATTTATGAGGGGGACTTCAATGACGCGCAATGCGTGTAATAAATGCGCGTCATAAATGCGTGTCATAAATGCACGTCATAGATTTATGACACACAATTGCGTGTCATCTGAGATTTATGACGGTGGCTTCAATGACGCGCATTTGTGTGTCATCTGCACCCATAGATGACACGCAATATGCGTCATTAAATGAGTTTTTTCTAGTAGTGCATGTAGTTTATCATTTTTTGTTTTAAATTTAGGTTAATGGTTTAGGGTTTTTAAGATTATTAGGTAATTAAGTTTATTCATTAGTCTTAGCCTTTAGAATCATGAGAAAAAAATATTTTAGAGATATGTTATCTTTTCGTATTCTTTGTAGTTTTTTGAGTTTATACTGAGGTATTGTAGAGATATCAGGGGAATGCTTTGGTATATATGTTAAGTTATGGGATACATGTTGTATCACATTTTTATTATTAGTCGCGATCTCTAAATTTATAGTAAATTATTTATTCTTCTCAATTGTTGAAATAAACAAAATCAAATCACCTTAAATCTCGTCGCTTACACGTTCTCTATTATAAAAAAATCTAGGTTTAATTACTTTTCCGGTTACAATTTCCTAACCATTCTTTTATACAATCATTGCTTATTTTATATATCATTGTTGGGCTAAAATAATGTATGTGTCCTTTTAAAGAAAAAGACAAAAGACATAAGAAATTAGAAAAGAAAAACAAGTTTGATTAAAGAGCAGCAAAACTATGATTTAATGATTGATTACACTGTAAAGCTTTGGCTAAGAATCTGTTTATCATAATATTTCGGAGTCAAGAATGATGAGAACCTTTTGCCTAGGTAATGACATAAAGTACATGTCTTTGTTGTTCCATGTTGATTTTAAATTTCATTCTAACCTAAAAGGGGGAATTGTACCATAAAGCCAACAAAATGGGTCATCCATGTAACATGTGTGAAGATTTTAGTTAATAATAACTAATGAGAGAAGGATGGCTATGTACATTTTGCATGGTCGTCATGATGTTGCATGACCTGTCTCACTAAGATACTATTACTCCAAAACCTTTCACATGCCATTCAAGAATAACCCCATAAAGTTATGTTCTTTTCATGATGATGGCCTAACCAATCTAGAAATTTAAAAATATTATTTAAAATCTTAATATTTATTTTAATAAAATAAATATATAATATTTTATTTTTAATATATTGAACTAAATTTTAAAAATTATGCAAAATAATAAAGATACACTTGATTCTATAATATATATTAGATTCTGTCTCAAAAACAAGTTAAGAGAGAAAATATATTTTTTATAAAATATATTTTAAAACTTATTTAATAATACTTTTATACTAAATTTTTTTAATTATATTATTTAAAATTATTCTAAACTAAAGATATTATTTATAATAATATTAATTAGTATTCAATAAAAGAATATTTTAATAATTTTACAATTGAATTGATACTCATTTAACCACTGACATTAGTTTAGTCGAACACGTAATAATAATAATAATAATAATAATAATAATAATAATAATAATAATAATAATAATAATAATAATAATAATAATGATGATGATGATGATGATGATGATGAAGAAGAAGATGATGATGATGATGATAATGATAATAATATAAATGATAAAATATTTTAATAATTTCATAAATCAATTAATACTCAGTTAACTGGTGACACTTAGTCGATCAAATACCTAATGATAGTATAGTTATATAGACTTTTACGACTTTTCATATTTTTAATATTATAATGGTTCAAAAGTTAAATTTAACAATATAATTATATTTTTCATAACACATAAAGTTTTAAATTATATAATATATTCTATATATTTATCATGATCTTATTTGAAAATATTAATCAAACATAAAATTGTAAACATATGTAGAACTGAAATAATTATGTACAGTTATAAAATTTTACAATTACAAATTTCCGTTATGTAATATTTTATGGTAAGTATGGTGATACATACAGTCCCCCCCCCCCCTAAGATTTACAATGGTCGCATTGACTATATATTAGGATTAATATTTGATGTATTTAAGTTATATGATTTAATAAAATATTAATAAATTGGATACTTTATTTTAAAATTAAATATATTTGAATAAATTTTGAATAATTTATTATTATTTAACTCATTGATAACTGCACCAAATATCAGTCTTATATATCATAATACTATTGTTCATTGTTTAAAGAATCAAATGAGGGGGTAGTTTAAAGCAGGGGCTGGTGCAGGTTAGAATGGGCGGCGCGTTTAACATATAGAAGTATATATTTAATGAAAATGATAATAGTCTTATAAATTTGGTTTCGCTTTTAGGAGAGCTGTTCCTAAAACCTCTCTATCTTCTTCCAAATTGCATATCGCATTTCTTGTGGAATCTCAATCTCTTTCTTGAGAGAGAATGTTCCAACCAAAGAAGCCCTCAACTATGAATTCCCACGACAGAAACATGTGTGTTCAACCCGATTCCGGTCTCGTCCTCACCACGGACCCCAAGCCCCGCCTGCGTTGGACCGTCGAGCTCCACAATCGTTTCGTCGACGCCGTTACTAAGCTCGGAGGACCTGAAAGTATGCACACCACTTCCCTTCTTCATCCTTGAAAGTCTATCCATTTCTTATATATGATGATCAATTGGGTAACTTTGACACACAGAGTCCACTCCCAAAACAATCATGAGACTTATGGGTGTGAAGGGTCTTACACTTTACCACCTCAAGAGCCATCTCCAGGTTTGAATGCATGCAACCACCTGCATATCCTTTTCTTCTTCTTCTTCTAGAGCCCTTTTTGGAGACCTTCTCTTCTCTATGTTGGGTTGCCTTGGTTTCACTTTTCTTTTTCCTTGCTTCTTTTTTGAATAACAGTAGTTTTAATTCTTGTTTCTGTATCAGAAATTCAGGCTTGGAAAGCAACCTCTCAAGGAATTCAATGATCACTCCATAAAAGATGGTATGAGATCTGTTGGACTCTTCTTTCTAGGGTTTTCTTTAATCAATGATTAAACATCTACTTTGCAACTTTTTTTTTTATCTAAATGCTTTGAGGTTTCTTTCCTGTTTTCGTGGCTAGATCTTCAAAGAAATTCTGCATCTTCATCTGGCATGATGGCTCGTACCATGAACCAGTAAGTACTGATTCATTTCTTATGATTTAATTTAAGTGTTTCTCTCCCTCTTATGTAAGGGTTTTTAAGAAAAAAGGTTTTCGGGATGAGGGATTCATATTTTCTTATGGAATGTATGTGTTTAATTGTATATAAAAGCAGTGCCCATTGTACTAAATTGCTGTTACGGTTGCGGTTCCGACAGTGAGGTTACAGTTGTGGATGTTACAACATGATTTCTTTTTTAAAAATAACTATAATTTTTATGTTGTGAATGTGATTTTTGGTATCATAGTGATTTTGAAAAATGTTACGTACGACTCTTATATTGTGTTGAGGCCGCATTTTAATACTATGACGGTTTGCCATTAGGATGCAAATGGCGGTGCAGAGAAGACTTCATGAGCAACTGGAGGTTAAAATGCATCTTCAATTTAGGGTTGAGGCTCAAGGCAAGTATATGCAGTCCATATTGGAAAAGGCTTGCCAAACCCTAGCTGGTGAAACCGTGGCTGCACCCGGAGACTATAAGGGTACTATTGTGGGAGCGATGAAAGATTTCAACTTCCCACCATTTCAAGACCTGAATATATACGGAGGCCATCAGCTTGATCTTCTACACAACATGGATAGCCATTTCACGCCGAATAGTGACGACATTTGCCTCGGAAAGAAGAGGCATAGCCCTTATAGCGGTAGCGGGAAGAGTCCTTTGATTTGGTCCGATGAGCTCCTCCGACTGCAAGACTTGGGAACACCTCCATCATCATATCTAGAGCCTCAAGATGACCCTTTTAAAGCTGAAATCATTCAAATTGGACCACCTAATTATATTCATACAAGTGCTGATATTTACGACTCGAAGCCAGTGCTTTCCGGCGATGGCATAGGAGGTGAAAAGAAATTCGATGGGTCGCCGATGCCGGAAAGACCATTGCCGAAAAGAGCACCGTTTTAGACGGACAGGATGAACCATAGTGTGGCACAAGGGAGGAATTCACCGTTTGGATAATCATTTGTAAAAAAGAAAGATTTATCAGACCTTATTTGACAATTAATTATGCTCCGTTGAGTTTGATATTTCACTAGGGTTATGGTAAATTGTGGTCACGATAGGATTTCGTCTCAGTTATATGATAATGCATGCCATGCAAGACCCTTTTTTCTTTTAAATTAATCGAATGAAGGAAAAATAAATATAAAAAAATACTTAAAGGAATAATCATACAAGGTAAAGAATTAATGATGAAATTTATATGTAACACCTTTTAGTAATTATGTTGCATGTTTGTAACTTGTTGTGACGGCCATATTTTGGTCAATGTGGGTCTTATTGGACTCATGTTCCAATGAAGTAACAAACTTTTAAAACCTTTTCTTTTAGGTTAGTTATTTATGAGGGTAAAATATATTATTAATTAGACTTTAGGGTATTTATATTTTGATCATTAAAATAAAAATATATATATTGGAGACATTAAATAACAATGCTTTAATTTCGATCATTATCATTAGTTGTGGTAAGTGGAAAAAAGGACGGAAATGATATATTTTTAACTTCAATTATCAAAGTCCAAGAATTCTAAATTTTCAGTGACCTTTAGTATAATTTATCTAAAAAATAAATATAATTATAATTTAATAAATGTTATTTTTATTAGCTATGTAACGATTACTGGTTGGTTATAAAGTTAAACATTAGACCATTTTATAGGGATCTTAGATTTGAACCATTTTTAGCAAAATATTTGTTTTATTTTTTATTGATAATAAGTTGATTACACGAATTCAAACTATAATTTAACTTAAATGTTACTTCTGTCAACAATATAACAATTATACAATTAGGGGCATTAGTTAAATATTGGACCCTTTTGCAGGGTCTCGAGATTTGAATCCTCTTTAGGAAAGTATTGGTCTCGTTTTTATTATCCAATAAGGAAGTTGACCAAAATATTTTGTAGTTTAATCATTACGAGTAACTGTTACATGATTGATAAAAATATATTAACTATATTTGTGATAAATTATAGTAATATCACTGCACTTTTATTCGAGTCACAAAACTTAAGAAGTGTTTTCATTTTGGCCATTGCCATTAATGTCACATTTGTTAACGCTAACGATGGTGTTAGAAATGAAATATTTCTTAAATTTAATGACTCAAAACTCAAAGATGAGTTCAATGATAAAAATGCAAACATCTTAAACCTTTAATGACTATTACTAGCATCTGTCTTATGCAATATCAATGCAGACAAGATCATCGGGAAGTAGGAAACTGTCGGGAAAAAAACACAGAAGCCTTGATGGCATTAAAGCAAAAGATGACAAAAGCAGGTAAAACGAGTTAAGCACAGAAACTCTTTCCCGCATGAATTCGTCGACAAAAGAGTGTCTCTCTTTTTCTTTTTCTTTATTCTCAAATTTTGAAGGCAAAGTTGGCGATTTTATCAAAATATCACTCTGACAGGTAATAATTACATGTCAGACAACTTTTCTCCTAATTTTATCGATCTAGCACCCTTTCTGACAAGACACCTTTCCGGGGTTTCATCCGAGTTGGCGTCACGTTATGAAAAGCGTAGATGGTCATCCACGCCTTATCCGAGCTGGCGCCACGTAATGACAGACGCGTATAGCAATCAACACCTTTCTAGGGTTTCTGACACGCATCAGTAAGGCGCGGATGGTTATTGATTCCACTCGAACAACTTGGCCTTTAAACTCTCCCTTTCCCTATAAATAACACCCCTTCTATGCAAACATCACCACATCAATTCCTTCTATTTTTGCTTCACCATTTACTTCGATTTTTGTTGTAAGGTAAAATTTATTTTATTTTATTATATTTATTTTATATATGATTATTTGAAAATATTTATTGTACTAATTATTTTGTATTATTTTTTGCAGTTGTAAAATTGGAAAGTGGGATTATACATTGAGACATTTTTGCCGATACAGTAACAATATAAAATTACTATGAAATTTTTAAATTTTTTTTTTGATTAGTTTATATTTTAATTCATATCCTATTTATTTAATTAGGCATATTTCAACTATTGTTTTTGCAGATACAAGACTCTCAATCTTTCAAACTCTCAAAATGACGCATATTTCAGCTATTGTTTACTATGATGGAGAAATTCGGGAAGATGAAACCGGCGTCGTCTTCGCATCAAATCATTCTATCAAAATATCATTCAAGAAAATAACTCTTAAGGAGTTGATAACGAAAATTTCACGGAAGGTTCATGTTGGAAGTACTAGAAGACTGTCCTCACTTCAGTACATATTTTTAACCGCGGTATTTCCATTAACTTATACAACGTTCGAACTATCCAACGATGACAATGTTGTTATGATGGTTGATTCTCAAAATCATTATTCAGACGTTGATACAGAGATGTATGCAAAATTTGTTAAAGTGTGTGTTGTTCGTGGTATGTCATTATGCTCCCACTATGGGCTGAGTTAACAAGCTGATCAAGTTGACAGCACAACTCAAATAATATGTAATGATTTTAACTCGTTAATGATAAATTCACATCATGGTTCCATCCCATCAAGTTCAAGGGGAGACATTCATTAGTAACTTCTTACGATCTGTACCGAGGTGGCCCCAAAAACAATTCGTATGGCAATATCGCGTCCAGTTCAAGGGGAAGGCATTTATCTGCCAATTTCTTTGACTTGAGTATGAAGATGCCATTCGACGCAATAATCTGTACAGTACCCATTTGACACGATGCCTTCAAGCTCCAAGGGAAGGCATTAAACTGCATGCTTCTTCGACCTCAATGTCGAGATGCCTTCAAGTTCAAGGGCAAGACATGCAACTACCATCTTGTTTGACCTAAATGTCGACATCGTGAAGGAACCCTCATCTCCACAAGAAAACCTCTTTGTGAGCCAGGTACGGATGGTGTTGAGACTGGACTGTTCATTCAGCCAGAATCACTACAGTTCAACATAGACTCCGATGATGATGATGATGTAGATCAAGTTCCCACAAATACGGTACACACTGAACCTACAACACAAATGTATGAAGATGAATATGGTTCTATGTACGGGCTAAAGTTTGCGGATATGCCTAATGTTGGTGACTATGTATTTAACTCATCAGTCAAGATGGTGAGTTATATAAAGGAATGAAGTTTTCATACAAATTAAAAGCGATAATGACAATTAAGAATTACAACATTCGTAATTGTGTTCAGTATAGAGTCAACCGCTCTACCACCAAAAAATATGTCTGCCACCATATCCAACGTGATAACAGATGCAATTGGATGGTTCGTGTATAGAAGGGGAAAAGGAAAAATATGGGAACTAATGATATACAACGGTCCTCACACATGCTGTACTGAAGGGATCAACCAGGATCATCCAAACTTGGACTCTAACATTATCTTCCAAGCCCATGGTAAAAGCAAGCTCCCATATAGCTATTGATGTGCTGATTTCAGCTATACAATCACAATATGAGTATACCGTCTCATACAGGAAAACATGAAAGGCAAAATAGAACACCATTAAAAAACTTCATGGCGAGTGGGATACATCTTAAAACTATATGCCAAATTGGTTAAGGGTAGTGCACATATTGAATCCTGGACAATTATCGACTTTGAAACTTTTCATACATACCACAAAGATCGAGTGCTTCGTGATCGATGCCAATTCTACTGGTTTTTTGGACTTACCCACAGTGCATTAATGTTGTGGTCCAAATCGATGAGATATTCTTGTATGGAAAATACAAGCAAGTTTTAGTAATGGTAGTTGTTCAAGATGGTAATCGCAACATGCTTCGAGTTGCTTTTTCCCTTGTTGAAGGAAAAGACACATATTCTTGGGCTTTTTTCCTCAGAAACTTTCGCTTACATGTTATTACGAGGGAAAACATATGCGTCATTTCAGATCGCAGAGCTGGGATTAAAGCAGCAATGGATTCTTTGGGTCCAATGTGGTAACCACCCTATGTCTAACATCGATACTGTATCTAACACATTGCTGCAAACTATCACGGAAGATTCAAGAAGAATGATGAGTTCCAATTACTTGTGCTCATGGGTATGTCAAAATGCTATTTTTTTTATTTCTCAATCATTTTCATTTTTTATGGAAACAAAGTTAGTAAGTTCTACATTTGATGCTCAGGTTACGAACTACTACCTGAAACATTTGAGTCCGTGCTTCAAGAGTTGTGAGGAAAGAACGGGAAGGATACGATTACATCAGCCTCATCAACAAAGAAATGTGGACAAATGCATGCATATGATGGTAAATATCAATATGGATACATGCCGACCAACTTGGCTGAGGCTATCAATTCGACCTTAAAGGTGGCACGCCATTTACTAGTAACGACTTTGGTAAAATGATATATTTTTATTTGAGAGCACTTTTTGCCAAGCTCGGGGGACAAGCTTGAACATGGATACAACACGGTCATGTCTATCACCCAAGATTAGTTACAGATCTACAAAAAAGAATTGATGCATCAAATGGAATGTCTATAACAAGCTTCTCTAGAACCCCATGAATTATTTCGTGTCACAGATATCCCATGACCTTTTAAAGGGATTCAAGTTAACTCGTTCAGAGTTAATCTACGAGACAGATGGTGCGACTGCAAGATTTTACAAGCTCTGAAGTATCTTTTCTCTCATGTCATAGCAACTTCCTCGCATACTTGTCAAGACTATAACCGTTTTGTGGATCTCGTATACCAACTTTTAGAAGTGTTTAAGGTATATGAATTTAAGTTCCCCCCATAGGTATTGAAAAAGAATCTAATGAGGTTCAGAATTAGCTTCCGATTATACTAGATCCGTCCTTATTGGGGGAGCCCGGTCGTCCAAAATCCACTCGAATTCATTGTGATATGGATATTCGAGAAACGTCTAGAGAAAACAAAAGATGTGGACATTGTAGAAACCTAGGACACAATAGGAAAAAATGTCCATATCTTTTGTCATCAAGTAACCATTGATGTTGTGCTTGATGTTGTTTATGAAATCTAAGTTTCTGCAATTTAATTTTCATTTACTTTTAGTTAATTTTATTTGAGCATCACCGATTAATTAAACAAGAATACGATA